AGTACTCCAACACCATCAAGTACTCCTACACCATCAAGTACTCCAACACCATCAAGCACTCCAAAACCATCAAGTACTCCAGCAACATCAAGTAGTATAGCAGTTTCAACTACTCCGCTTGTTACCACCACCGAAGTCCCAATCGAACTTTCGTTTACATATTTAGCTGTATGCAGAACGGATGAGCCATGGAGAGATTATTTCTTGGACCTTGACAATCCGTCGASGAAAACCTTCGTACTTCGTGTTACAACAACATGTYATAGAAAGTTCAGTCCGTTTCCTCTTTTCTYKAGATGCCAAGTAAAGAGATTGTGGAGAGGAAGCACAGTTATTGATATGGAAGTCGTTTTTAAGACTGGTTCAAACATAACAGCTGAAACCGTGCAGAAGCAACTTGCCTCTGGTAATTCTACAGTAGACTGGGGCTTTAATTTTTTGAACATAAGTGTCTCAAGGATTATCAGTACCACTGAACCCCCTACTACAGTAGCGTCATCTGATAAACTTGAAGGATGGAAAATTGCCCTGATCACGTTTGGAGCTGTTTGCTTTCTTTTTATTGTTATAGTGCTACTGGTGAGTTATTTACTGTTATTTTGTTTTAATCATTTTTGCTTGGTTTTGCTTTTTGTTTGCTTGTTTTTTTCCCGGAAGCACTAATTTGAATWGCAATGTGTTGTGTATTATATGTTTCTTTGGATTGTTGCAGTAGATTTGATTACCACTAGATCTGTTCATACTGAAATTTGGGGGGGATCGTAATTTTTATAGACATTTTCGGGGGGGATGACAAATTTTTACTGTATTCAAGAGGGGGGTTGCTAAAAATATTAATTAAAATCTTAATTATATCCATTTTGAAATCACAAGTGAWTCCTGCAATCTTATTGGTTCTTAGCAGGTTGTTTTCAGCCTAAATTGCACCATTTTGAACTCGTAATCACACTCCTTTGAAGCAAATATTGTATTTATACTAATTAATAAAATTTTATGATGTACACAATGTGTTAGATTTCAAAATGGATATAATTTTAGTGGTAATTCGTGTCGTGCAATTTTGGTTCGAAATCAAACTTGTGATTACAAATTGCACTAATGTTACGCAGTCGTGCGATTTTGAATCACGCGTTTGATTTCAAACCAAATTGCACTCCACTCAGTTCAATTCCCATTAATTAATTACAAATGGAAAACAAGGTATAAATTGTAGAGGTTTCAATTAACGGATTGAATGCCATATTAGTTTATAGAGAACATGGTAAAAACCAACAAGTACTAGTAACTATAAAACCGGATGTAACGCAGGCTAATAAGTAACTTATCGGTGTCTTTTTTATCATTTTAATCATCATTAATATCATCATCAACTTCATCATCATCATCAGTGTCATCATCGTCATTTGAATCTGCACTTTCCTTAGAAGACTTTTTTTTTTGGGGGGGGGGGACTTTTTTTATTTTTGTTTGGGGGGGTTGCTAATTTTTTCGTTAGTCGTGGACAGGGTGTTGAAAATTTTTTTTTGGAAATTAAAAAGTTCACCTGCCCCCCCTGCGGTATACATTATGAACGCAGCCTAAACTAAAAATATATTTTGGTTGCTTGATAAATTTAGTGCTTATTGGTGAGGAAAGCTAGAAGAGGTTATGGGATGTCYTCAAGGAAGATATCCAGAAATGAGGTTATGGATCCCAAGATGTGCATTGATATGCGGAAAGTGTCAGAATTTCGAAAACGTGACTCTAACTACGTAAGTGACATTTTGTATAACACGTACTATGTTAGGTAGTGTGTTCATACTTCGTGCTATACTGTTATTTTCAAGGAGTAGGAATAACTTCACCCACAAAGTTAAAGTTGCTCTACTTGGAGGAGTTTTAAGATTTAAAAATCTTCTCCGCAATGCGAGTATAGTTTTTGCTGCAGAGATTTTTTTAACTTTTTTTGATTTAAAAATCAAATTGGAAAGTGAGCCCAAATTAAATTACTACAAAAGAGTTCACAATTGCTCTTAATACCGGTACTTACTTTACTTTTTGTCGGTTGCAAAGAAAGCCAGTGCCAGTGTCCGTCATTTGCTCTTAAAAGAGGGGTCTTTTTTTTGGAGTTAAATCAACTMCTTGAAAATAACAGTGTATAAAATCACGCGAACCAAAGAGTTTCTAATATTTCTACCAGCTTTTATAAAATTTTCGATRTATAACGCGCGCTTTGATTGGCTGACGACCGTGTTTATATCAGAGGACAGAGACACGGCTTACCGGCAAAATTTGCTTTTCGCTCGAAACATTTCATAAAAGAAATATAAAACGCCCGCTTGTGTCTCTGTCCTCTGATATAAACACGATGGGAGTTGAAAAACACTCGAGAAGCAAGAGAAACACTCGCTACGCTCGTGTTCCTAAGCTTGCTTCTCTCGTGTTTTTCGAATTCCCACCGTGTTTATATAAGAGGACAGAGACACGCGCGTCGTTTTATATTTCTTAATTTAAGAACGGCGATAGTAGAAGACGAAGGCATTGCCACTTTATTATAATCAACATATAGTGCACAAATTTAGTATCTTTTATCGACAGTGCTTTCGACTTATGCAGTCGTTATCTTTATTGCTAACGCCATTTCATATAGGGAAACATGTTGAATAAATTTTGCTATAATGGTATAAATAATGATATGATTTGTAATTATTACGTTTACAAATAAATCTACCCTTGTTCTGTTCTTGTGCAGTAAGGATGTTAAATAAGATAAAAATCATTTATATGTTCCTGCACGTGACCAAATAGCCAAAAATAATTGAACTAATAGCTCATCGTCATATAATGCATGTTTTTCCTTAAATAAAATATACAAATTCTTTAATAAGTTTCAGKCACCGATGTATCTTCCCACCGCTTCGAATGGCGAGAGAAAAGCGGGTGTATACTCAAACGTAGCATAYACAGATATCAACGGCAGCAATCCTTACGAGGTAATGATGCAGAAAAAAAGCACTCGATTGATTTTTTATTCCTTTTATATCTCCAAGATACAAGTCATGACATTGTTAGTTACAATAGTCTCATTGTCTATCTCAGTTTCCTGCACGATGTTGAAAGGTGGCCGTGGTTTTGYATCAAAGCCCGAAGACCGTTGAGGGCGTACAACTATAGATGCCTGTAAATAATTGTCTGTAGGTGTGAAGGAAGGTTTCTATCATTTGCAACCTCAACRGATGTCTTGCTTCGATGCAAAAGCACGGCTACCTTTCAAGATTACGCAGCAAACTTGGAAGAAGACTATTCCCAAATATAGGAATCATATCAAACAATTTGTTTGGAGAAAAATTCATTCGTTTGCTAAACTTTAACTGACCATATATGGTAATCTTACCTYATYAGGAAGTACGTTAGAAAGCTAGTTTTTTTCACGTTTTTCCACCTTTTAGAATTTGCAAAGAAAATACTTTTCAACAAGTCGGCCATTATAATTTTTTCCTATTCCTCTCTTATCCTTGGAAATAAGGGATCCCATAAAAAAAAAACACAGGTAGCCCACGCGAATGTTATACAATTATTTAAGGCGTATTACTCTCTACCATTTTAGGACTTGAGGGACGGAAATTCTGCACTTTATGACAATCCTGGTGGCGTTTTGCCTGAGGTAATATATTGATAAACTAAAGSTGTGAACGTTTATCTCAAACTGCCCCTAACCTTTCGATTTCCATCTAAAACAATCTATACATGATTGGTACTAATGGCACGSTAATATTGATAGGAAAATCGTCCAACTTGTCTGGCAACTTTGCTGCAAAACAAGCTAGAATAGGATTTGTTACTATTACTATTATTAGAACTAATTTGTCTCGGATCATAAAGAATTTGTTGGAATTTCCTTTTTTTTCTAATTGACCAATGCAGTCGGCTGATTGTCTCATGCGACGTCATTTTGCTGCGTGGGCTAGTTTGGCTGTTTTCAGTAATACGCGCATAATCAACAGATTTTGTTGCGACCTTCCACTTTCTGCAACACACTTTTCAATCTACAAAGTTGGTTTGCCGTTAGTAATATGAGCAATATCCCTTTATAACTTGCTCTGCAGCAACGTTGAGAGACAAGTTGGACGGTTTTGTGTATTATCGCACCTTAAACTTTCATACCTCTCGTGTGATCTATTTAGATTAACGTGGATACTTAACAGTCTCTACACCTGTGTCCATTTCCAAACGTTTAACCGCTGCTTTATTTGTCAGCAGGATCTCTTATAAACAAACAAACAACGATGAATACAACAAGAACAATACGAATACGAAAAAAAATCGTCAATACAATAGCCTTACAATTTTTATCTTTATCATAAAAATAGTTTTTTTACTGTGACAATATGAACTTTATATTTTGTTGTTGTAGTTATTGTTTTTATTTGAAAAATGAATTTTTATTATTATCACTTCTTTGGTCTAATTTACATTTCTTTATATGCAAAGAGACCCAATGGAACTCACAGTTCTCTAGATCTCTATGATACCGCCAATAACGAAGTAAGTTCCTATYGATGGGCACTATTCCTATAAGGCACKGCGCAAAATTTAYCAGAAGAGGGGKGCGGGGGCTGAGAATCCAGAKCGCGGYAAATTCTAATTTAATGTKCTTASAGAGGGGGGCARCGTGYAGAATTARCTAGAACTTTAATTGGAAACCAAAACATCAACGGTGTCAKAAWTGAAAGTGGACAACCGCTGCTTAATTTTGCGCAAAGATCTTCCCAAACACAAAAAAAATGTCGTTCTWACAATAAAMWTTAAAAYTAGCAGTTTCTCCGTGTTGAGAATGACCCTGTTTCCCATGTGAACTAAGGTTTCTGGGAATACAGGGTTAGCCTCAACTCGGGGAAAATGYGCCATTGTACTTACAACATTTTCTCGCGCTTTCTTTTACGTTTTTAAGGTCTTTKCGTAAGAGAATYCTCTGCTKTCAAGAATAAAACTGTAAACAGCAGTTATTCGTTTTGAATTCGAAAATGGAGTATTCCCAAAAGYCGCGCGCTTCTTATGTAGATTTAATGTAAACGTGAGCTCAAAAAGGTCGTCCTCTATTATGGGTGTACTGACATATCCGTTGCTAGGAAAATTCAGTAGTTCTCTAAAATGACAAAAAAAAGTAAAATCGCTTTCGTATTGAGTATTAAGCCTTCCCAAAMAAAAATAACACGTTCTATGACGTCATTGCATGACGTCATCGCGTGACGTCATTAATACGAAAAAATGCTATAATTTCATCAAGCAAAGTATATGAAACGATTTAAAATGGATGAAATTAATTGATCTAATTCCGTAAAGCCAAGCATGCGTTTTTAAAATGATTGCCAAATGAGATTTTTACGATTTTTTTAATGCAAAAAATAACTTTCGCATTTTTCATTTTTTCGCTAAACCCATGCTTGGTTCTAAAGAGGAAGCTGTGAAGAACATAAATATTGAAAAAAAAACGTCCATTTGATGTTTCGCACCGAAGATTATRTTTTTTAAATGATACCATACATTTTATGTAAACAAAAACCTTTCCACCGGAAGTAAAAATTTTCGAAAACGCGCGCGTGCCCGCTTCTCCGATTGGCTAGCATCGGCTAGCATAGCAACCAGATCGTCTAGAAACGGATACGTCAGTACACCCTTAAGCGGTCACTTGTCTTTCCCTTAGGTGAACTAGTACTAATCTCATATGTTTACATTTTAGGCTTCTTACGAAAACCCGTCATCAAGCACTGCTCGATCTAACGGGGGTTACGCAAATATATACGACTAGGTAACTACCTTTAATTTTGCACCGTCGCTTATAATTTGTCTTATCAGATGAAGACAATAGTCCAGTTTCGAATTCTCCAATGCTCTGTGTTAGCCTCATTTGTKCTCAAAATATTCCTTATTGTGAGAATAAAAGTGTGAGATTTCAAATCAATTCTATTGTCTTTCTTTGAATTTTTCTCTGAGGCAATTGTTTGATATGTTCAAATTTCATGCGTTTTCTCGGGCTCTCAATAAAACAAAAGAATATGTTACTTCATTCTGAGGCTAACACAGAGAAAATTGGAGTATTGTCGTTTTAAAGGGACATGGTCCACCAGCATTCAATGCGGTCGTGTTTTAGATTTTTCATATATAGAAAGTGAGTTCACTTCAAATATCCATTTCCATCCAACTGTTTAAAGGTCGAATCTTACAGTATCTCCATTTGTATAATGTAGTATATATAGGATAACAAAGAGTACGTTTTTGCTTATATTAAGATGAATTTTTACTTTGAAACATGAGCAAAAGCTCGAAAGGGATACTGATGGACCATGCACCATTATCGGAAATCACAAAGACTGTCAAAATCTTCTGTAATTGAAAGTWTTCAACCATTCCCATGAGATTCAAAAGATACAAGATAGGCGGCCATGTTGAAGGAATAAACAATAGATACTAATGAGAAATCCTTTTTTGAAAGCCCTCCAAAATGGCCGCTGTGGCGTAACTTGAAAACGAAGAATAGGTATTTAAAATTAAAAGGGCCTCGTATCATGGATTGACTAAAATGTCCGTTTATATAGTCCATAACGCAACCCGCGGAAATCCTTGTGACGCAGTGAATTTTGGGATTGATAAATGAGTAAACAAGTGAAAAATGATGTCAGTGCTCCAGTTGTCTGTAACGTAGACTCAGTTTTCGAAAAACATTGGGAAATATTAATATTGTAGTTAATCTCAAAAGCGAAAAAACAAACAAATACCAACATGCAAGGAAATACAGCAAGAAAAACCTCCAAAAAATGTACAGTTAATCAAGAATTTCCATTTACTAGGCAAATCAAGCAAAACAAACATATTTTGTCTGTGGAAAAATCGAAACTAATTAGTGTCTTTACGATTTTAGCGATTTGTTTTGATGAAGAAATGGAGATATATATCCCATGATACATTGCAAAACCATTCAAAATGGCGGGCTTGTGATATGGACTATGATGGTCGACGTTATGTCAATCAATATTTAGCCTGCGTAGCCAGGCCTTCCTAGCCACTCCGAGGGAGTTTTTGTAGTCAATATTTYCCTATAAAGGGTCTAAGGATCTAACAGTATCGTGAAGTGGTGGAATCGCTACTACTACTTATGTAAACAATCGTTTTGCAAAAATTCTGCAAAAGTCAAAAATAGGAGCTAGATAAGGGTTCGTTTTGGGTAATTGACACATTTCATCTTGACATTCGATTGTATTGAATGTACCGAGAAATGGTTGTCAATTAGCAAATTACTAAACTTATTACAACTTATATGATGTATACCATATTTGTATTTGTATGGAAATTTTGCGAATGGTTATAAATGGAACATTTTAATGGAAATTCAATATTCAAATCTGATAATATGATTGGTTCAGAGACCTGTTTTTGTTTTCAATTCCCTGAGTTCACAAGCTTAGGGGTGAAATACAAGACTCACAGAGAAAAATGAAACCAATYGCATTTCGGGTAAATTAAAATTATATATAATTAACTAATTATGCAAATTCATAATGTCTAMGATAGACATATTTAGACATCCGATAAAGGTCCGTATTTATCATCATAATCAGCTAGGGCAAACACTGCATAGTACAGTTCAAGACCGCGAAGGATTGTTAAAACACCACGTTAAATTCAATTCTAAACTTAATTCCTTTCCAGTTATTGAGAGTGCGGAGCTGATATAATCACTCTAAAACCATCCTTTACGATGTGTTAGCCTCAATTGCGTGCAAAATATTCAGAAATTTAAATAAAACTCGTGAAATTTCAAACTTTTTTCCTTGTCTTCTATACTCAATGATCTCTTGCATTTGCATGGAATGTTAGTGATTAGAAGAATTTATTCTGATTTATTACATGGTTTCGAGGCTAACACAGCGTAAAAGAAATCTCT